TAACAAAAAAGTGCTGGGAAATATAGTAAAACAAGAGGTGTGAATTTTATATCAAATCAAGCTCATCAGTTTTGAAGACAATGTGATGTGAACTTTGTTTTCTAATTACACAGAAATAACTCCTATGTAGTGGGTTTGGTGTCAGGGTCTTCTACAGCCAAGCAAAAGGGTATTGGAAGGCAAGACAGGAAAGGAGTTGAACAAAGAGAGGAAGTGTCTCATCTTTCTCCAGTTACAGGAAATAGGGTAAGTGGCAGCAGATAGTTGTGGTTACACTAAGATAGGTTCAAGGAGCTGGGTCAGTACCTGGCTGTGATTTTTACAAATGCCTAAACTACAACAGTTATGCAGCACCACAAAATCATCATAAGTATCTGTCTGCTAAAGTATTACATAGATTTCTTTCACACCAAACCAGTTCTATTAAAGTCCTGCAGCAGCAATATTGCTCATGCCAATGAAACTAGCTTAATTATCCTAAACACATGGATTGGTGGAAGGAACCTTTCACATTATTTGTTACCCAATCAAAAGGGCTAGAAAGATTGCCTACGATATACTGTGGCAACCTACCATGCACTTCTACAGATACCAGTGTGCATTTGTCTCTTACTTTCATACGTGTGACAAATTCTGGTTTTCTTCAATGGTAAGGCTGTCTTATATTTGATCTCACTTTTGGCAGGACATAGACATTACTGTAAAGCTGTAAAATCACAATGTGTTTAGACATGCACTGTACAGCAGCATCTAACTGGAGGCCTTTACTTTTCGTTGCTCTGCTAGCCTCAGGGTCAATTCTTTCGCATATTTTGATCCAAAGCAAACTCTGAAATTTGGAATTTGCCACTTAATACAAGAATGGAATGCAGTCAGACTGAAATAATGCCTCATCATGTGCAGATACCTTAGAAAGGTTTCTAAAAGGTTGTTTTTCCCACTTGCTTGCAATTGCTAACTTTTCCACTAGGACAAAAGCAAGAAAAAGATCCTTCTCAAGTTAATAGGGTGTTGGCAAGCCATAACATCAACATTTATTCTTCCTTCATTCTTTAATACTCTGCTCATCAGCAGGAAAGAAAGGCATGTATGTCTTCTCTCCAAGCACCCTCAGCATCCCTGTGAGGGTTAAGATTCCAGGTACTTTAGAAAAACAGTTTACTCAAGATACTTTTCCTTGGCCAAAGGTCAGTAGTCTACTCAGTCATGTGTTCCCTTTTAAGTATTTGCACTAAAAGAGTTACATGGGCTCAGAAATCTCCTGCAGATTTCACTGAGTGCTGGTGCAACTCCCCGAGGCTTTCTGAAAGCATAATGGAGGTTGCTCTGTCTGTTGACTAGCACAAAAGAAAGAAACATATAATAGGTAGTACAAGATTCAGTTATTATTTCTTGTGTATATCACACTACATTACAGATAATTCTTTATTTTTCTGAAGGAGAGGTCACTAGAAAATAGGCTAGGGCTCTTACAAAGAAAAAAAAAGTGTGTTTTATTCTGTTTTGCAGAGCAGTTTGGAAGTGGGGCATTAGTTTTGCCAAAAGCAATTGCTGTGCATTAATATTAAACATGATCTAATGAAGGCAGAAGTCGTTTTGGGAAAACATTAAGAACAGCAAAAGCATCTCCTGAATTACAAGTTTCGGGCTGAGAGAAACAGTACAACGAAAATTATAGGCATTTCTCTTGCCAAGGCTTTGCTACATGACCTGCAAAAATAAGGAAAGGGAAAAGGGGAAAACCAACAATACCTTATGGAAATTATACTTCAACGCTTTCCACCCCCCAAACCCAAACTGTAACAAACCAAAACTAAAACTGTACAACAGACCCAAGCAAGCAGTCTTCACTGTAATTAACAGGAAAGCCACAAAGCTGGTATAAAATGTAATTTGGGGGTTGGAGTTGAAGCAATGCCTCCAAGAAAACTGCTTTAGTATATAAAAACAAAAGGATCAGTCCAAATAAGTGCAGTGTTTGGTGCAGCTCTAAATGATCCTTTCTGTCTGGCATATATATTAAGAATATATTAATTAAGGAACATGTGAATCATCTGATTTATGTGCAAGATAAAGCAAAGGAAAAAAAAAGGGCATAATTCCTGAAGTCCTTAAAAGGGCATTTCTTAACATTCATCTGGGTGGCGTGAATAACAAACGTCTACTGAAAGTCAGACAGCCCTAACAGAGCACAAAAAGACCTCAGCTACGCACCCCATAAACTGCAGAAGCAGATTCATATTAAAAAAAAACCAAAACAAAAAAACATTGCTGATGCTTTTGTTGTAAATCTGTCTCTATTTACATGTTGCAGTCTGCACCTTGTGGCATCCTTCAAGGCCTTATACAAATAAACATAAGGAGGCATTTCTGAGAGTGCACTGACGCAAGGTACCTGACAGTGAGTGCCTGGAATCGCATCCTTGCCAGCTGGCTGCAACAGAAAATGTAATGATTCAGCAGTTTAATGGATCTTGAGCTCGGCAACAGTCCCCTTGTAAACATCTCTGGAGAAATAAAATAATACAGGCCCAAGACTCTGGCAGGTTCTGTAATTGTTTGCTGCTGGCACAAATCCAGGGACAGCACAAGTTCTAACTTCAGGCAAATATGGCTATACAATACTCTGACTCTCCAAGCAAGCTCTGTTCAAAGCCCAAGGGTAGAATTAACTTACAGAATGCCTGACGGGGAGACAAAGATACCAGGAAAGCATTCAGCTGAAAAAAGGTCCTTAATTATTAAACTGCCTGAATCAATAATGCTCAGTTTCACAGGAAAAGTCTTTTAACTTTTTTTTTTAACACAGAAGAGCAGATGAAGTTTGTTCAAAGTTGAAATATGGCAGGTTATAAACATCTGCCTTTGTTATTAAAATAAAAAAATATGCTAACAGACTGTGAGAAAAAATAAGTTTGAAAAGAGTGAAAAAGAGGCAACAAATAAAGCTGTCACAGCCACTGTGCAACAATTATTAAAACATGAGATATCTGTATTATCTTTCAAGTCTCCTAGCAAAGCACTCGCTGGAAAGCCAGAAATGAAAGACAAGTTACCAGCTCAGAAACTCAGATGTTAGGCTCTCTCAGCTCCTTTATGAAAATAAAATAATAATTCTTTGACTTCCACTCTGACCTTCTGTGGTTCTTTGGCCCAAAATTTATAAATGCTAGCAATATCCAGATTTACACTTGAAGCAACAATAAAAGTGAGAAAACCCCAGTAGGACTTTTTCACTGGTTCTACACTGTAGAGTGCCACCACAGAGAGGGTCCATTCTGCAAGCCTCCATACACACATTCACTGGTAATGAGAATGAAGCAGCCACCCCTCCTTTCAGGGCATGATATGTGGATGTGATATGTGGTCCCTTTATTTTCTATGCTCACACTGAGATGAATTTCAAAAGCTGTAGTTTATAGGCAAGGTGTTTGAAAAAAGGCCATAATATATGCAGAGAAGCACAAAAGCTAGACTCCATGGAATGACAGAATCAGCCAAGTTGGAAAAGACCTTTAGGATCAAGTCCAACCACTACCCCAGCAATGCCAAATCCACCACTAAACCACTAAGGGCCTTATCTACATGGTTTTTGAACACTTCCAGGGATGCTAATTCCACCACTTTTATGGAAAGCCTGACTTGGTAGGTTGTGTTTAATCTTTTATTTTCAGACTGCTATAGTTTGATCTGCCATCTAAAAGCATTTATATATAAGATTTTTATTTTATCTTATTGAAACCAGTAATGGAATTCACTGACTTTTCTGAATTCACAATAGAAGTACCAAAAACCTTTTCTAATTTAAGAGACCCACAACAGGATTCACTGTATTCCTTAGCTTTCTATATATATGAACTGCAAGGCTGGGAGAAGTAGAAAACCATCATGTAACAAGTGCAGCTGTGTTTTGCATTTAGGCTTTGTCAATCACTTCTCACGCAACGCAAGAGAAGGTACACAGGCAATCCTATATCCAGGAAGTTCCTCAGATATGTGCTACCAAACACATTAATTAAAATGAAGTTAATTTTTTTTTTTAAAGCTACTATCTCCCTCAAAACTGGAAGTGCTATCTCTTTTATGCAAGCACTTTCAATATTTGTCTAGTAAAAATACTTTATTTGAATTTGGATTACAGACTGGACAGCAAAAACATGCAGACATTTACACCCATGTGTAACAGTTGAACATATTCTTGTTCATTATTCAGAGCACTGCTGCCTGACTCTTTCCACCACCAAATATCCTTTTTTGGTTCTGCCTCCAAAATCAATTATTATGCTTGGTTATTTGCCTAGATTCCTGGATAGCTACTCAACAGAAATTTGCAGCTTACAATAGTATTTCATGGCAGGTTTACTAGGGCTTATTAGCATGGAAAGATACTAAAAGAGCAGGCCAAATACTGTGTTACTCTTAATGGTTCTTCTACGGAAATACAAAAAAATATCATTTTACATGTCTCCTAACATGTTCATTATTTAGTTATTACGGTGACGAGTACAACGACAAGCCAAGACTCCAATAGCTTCTGAAATCTTAATGCAGACAAGTTTTCATAATTTTCATTAAACATGCCCACATTAATTTCCTAAAAGGGCATTTAATAGTTGCATGTCAATTGAAACCCCAAATTTTCAAAATTCATGAAACACTATTAAAATTCAGTAAATAATTTGAAAGCAGCAAAGCGTTCTTTTCAACCCCAGTTTTGTTTCCAACTGAAGAGTTCTGCTCCAGCAAAGAAACTGAGGAAACTAATACAAATGATGAACTATGAAGACAGAAATGAAAATAATTCTGACAGCTGAAGCCCCCTCTTGTACTCTACCAGGCATACAATACAAAAGAAAAGGAGAGCACAATGAAGATTTAGTTAAAGCATTTTTGAACAGTAAAAGTTTCACATAATGCCGTTAAAATATCATGATACGACCATCAGGAGAAGCTTTAATGTGTAAATATTAGATTCCAATCCATATTGTTGTCCACAGTGCCCCTGGAATCTTTGAACTGCACAGCTTTTCCAGCTACCCAGCTGGTGTGTCGACAGCTCCATTTAATATTCTTGTCAAGTGATACAGCAAAGACCTCTCATGCCTATTTTTAAATGCACATTTTTAATATTCAATATAATGTTACTCTTTAACAAACTCTTTACTCCCTGCTTCTTTTATGAAGCTTCCTGTGGTCTTTAAAGGGATTGTTAACCAAAGAATGGATCACACTCTTTCTGCATGAGCAGATTCAGAAACACTCCATTAAACCTTTCAGTATTTAATATAAAGAGTAATCTCTCACCTCTGAGGAGATACGCCAGTTGCTGAGTGATTAACTCTGGTGCCTCTTGAAGAATCTCTTTTACTACTACCGAGGAAGAAGATGCTTGTAACTCCAGGCTGCCATCACATTGCTCATCTGGATTGATGACTTTGACAACAGCTGATTCCAAACTTTTATCCTCACTATAAAGCAAATTTAAAAGTTACGTATATTTTTTTCTTTCTAGCTGCTTGACAATCACTAAAAATAGTGCTTTTTTCTTTTTTAATTCTGGAATATAATGCTATTGTTATTGGTACTTGGAGTCTGCTATAAAGCCAAAGAACATTACAATGAAGTCCTAAAACTGTAATTTTTTAAATGAAGTGTTCAGTGTTTTTATTACTTGATAAATCACTAAGACATAAATATTTACATTTCCATTATAAAAATATTTAGAAATTAATAATTTGGGAAAAAAATCTGTATGTACTAAAATTATCATTCTTCATATAGGGGAGATTTGGAATTTTCTCCATTGAATATTTTGAAGACTTACAAAGAGTCTTTGCATTTTATATTTCTGCTTATAATAGCAATAACAAAGCCAACTACATTTAATAATGTAAAACATTAGTCATAATTATTTAGAAGGCAGAAATACAGGAAGGGACAGAAATAAACAAAAAACTAATCTTATGGATAATTTTTACTCTCAAAAAGTGAAGGATGTACTGATCTGACTGCAGTTAAAGAATCAACAGCTATGAGAGATATGCATATTTCTCATTTTAGATTTTCCCTGCTCTTATTCTAATCTACAAGTCCCTCAGTAAGATGGTGCCGTAGCACAACAGGATGTTACTTATCTCAATTTAAGTTCTAAAGAGAGCTGGAAGTAAACAACATTCTTCACTCTGGGCAAAACAGGCAGACCATTATAAAGAAGCTCCCTATAAAAGATTCACTACAGGCTTCTAAATATTTCCTCTTAAGGATGGATATATGGACTATGGTATTCTACAGAGCAACTGTGAGCCTCTGGCACATTTTGAGAAAAATGATGAAGTTTGTGAGGACTGCAGCTATCCAGCAGCCATCTTAACAGCACATATGCAGATGTGCTGGCTATCTCCAAATCAGTGTCAGAATCCTAATGCCTTTAGTGAAAACTAACTAAGAAGCAGCAAGAAATCCAATCTTTTATTTTAGTCAGAAAAAACTTCCAGATAATTTAAACTAAATTAAGATATCTAATCTAACCTGTGTGAAAAAACAAGGTCCTTAAAATATTTCGTTTCTGTTAAAAAAGATGGAAAGATGACTATTAAGTTTGTTACATTTACTGGAGACTTAAGGGGAGAGAAAATGTATTTTAGCTTCCTTTTTAACTTTTTTTGTCTGTGTTAGCATAGAAATACCAATATTACTGGAGGAAAGATGTAAACCACAATTTTTAAAACAGCTCAAACCCACATAAGCCATCTTGTTGTACATACAATGCAATACCTTGTCAGCATGTTGCTGTTTACAAGTGTTAAAGACAATTTCCCTTCAGCATTCAGCTGGTGCAAATTGATTTCATCTCGGAAGATATGGAATGACTCCGGGATATTCAGCTCCTCCAGGATAAATCTTGTCTCTGTGAAGTAGCTAAAATCTCTTCTTGGTATGTTCAACACAGGTAAGCAAAGAACATCAGGAGGACTGACCTGTAACACAGGCATCTGTTTGTCATTGCTGCATAAAATGAGACCTGTTTTTTATTAGGAACATGTTTTAACAGTGTGAGTAATTAAACACAGTCTGAATTTTCTGTTTGGTTTTCCCCCACTTAATTTTTAAAAAATTGGTTGGTTTGGGGTTTTTTTTCTTGTTCTTCTGTCTCTGTTTGCCTCCTACAGAATCGCTGGGAAATCAGAAATGAGAAAAAAATCATGTACAGGGGTGATTAGTGAATGCTACTTAAAATGTCAGCTAATATCCACTCATTAATTTTTGTATGTAAAGAAATGTAAATTGTTTCTATTTAAAAACCTTACCACTCCTTATAACAAAACCACTCCAGATTAATTTTTTTACAGTATGTTTTAATTGACTTAACAATAAGATGTGTGTAACAACCTGGAAAAAATAAGACCACTCAGTCCATTTTTTCCCTTACCTTGTCTAGAAAGTAGGCATAGGCCAGAGTAGAAATGAGTGAATCCAAATCACAGGATTTATTTCCAAGAACAACATGGACTTTCTCCAGGCATTTGCTCTTGTTCTGTAACACATTAGAAGACAATTGCAGTGAGCTACAATGATGAGAAAAAACAAAGCCCAGTCACCAAGACACTTCAAAAGTTAAGTATCAGGCACTGTCCTCAGTTGTAGCACTTTTTACCATCAGCTGAAGAAATGCATTCTCCTGTGGGATGAAGCATGTTTCCATGGCTTTATAGCTCCCAAGAAGTCAAGAGATCTGGTTTCCCTAAGACACCCCAGTTTAGAAACCAGTTGAGATCTAACTGGACAGAAGTTCCTTCAGCAGTAAAATAACAAGCATCTTCATGTATATACAGTAAAAGCTTTTGAAAAAAAGCTCACAAATCTAGTAAGAAAAGCAGTCCCAAACAGCATGGAATTACACACAGCAAACTATATGCAGCAAGCTGTAATTTTAGTTTTCCCTTTTTAATTTGCTTGGCTGAAATCAATACATACACAAAGTAAATGGCTTCAATCCTGACTCATGAAGCACTCCATGAAGCACTGAGAGCTTTGAGATGCTCTCACGAGCAAAGGGAACTGAGTCTGTTCTGTATTTAATAAAATTAGGAACCTTCCAAACACAAGGAAGACCAACTCTGTGAAAGCAAAATATTGCAGGGAAATTTCAACCTTCTTCATAATTGTAGACAGAAAATGTAAGGTGACGATTTGCACTTGTGCACATCACTGATGTCAAGCAAATGCAAAATGCATGCAAATTTTCCATTTTATTTTATCTTAATGAGCTAAACTTCGTCTGAAGAAATATATCTGACTGCTGCTAAGGTAGATGTTTCAAAACCAAATATATGAAGTTAAACGTTGTTGTTGTTGTCATATACAACACATTTTCCTCTTTCCAGTATATTTTTATTATATTGTTCTTCTGCAGCACACACTTCTCATAGATTTGCCACCCTAAAGAATGAAAATAAAGTTCACAAGCTCATCCTTTTTTAATATCATTCAGTTTACAGAGATCTTTTTCTTTAGGTTCATCACAACTCAATTCAACCCTGAAAAAGAAGGAAACTTAATGAACTGACAAAATCTACAAAGTCACTCACTTCTAGGATTAAGTAAGAAATTTTTGTCTAAGCACTAAAATCTGCACACTTGTTCTTACAATACACATCAGCTGTAGTTGTTGCAAAGGTAAACTGCAGGTCTAAAATCTGTAGAAAATCGCTTGGGAAGAGAACTACCAAAGATGGAAATCACTCTGCCTTAACAGCTGTCTAAAAGGAAAAGAAGAATTCAGATTTCTAAAACACAAGCAAACAACCCAACATCTTACACTCATTTGCATGTGCCACCATCGCTCCCTCTTTATTGGGTCTTCAGGAATGTGGACAGAAAAATTACACAAAAATTGAAGAATTCAAAGGCTCAGTTTCTGAACCCTACACTTGACTTCTGAAGAAATGAGAAAAGCAGGGCTATAAAAAGCAGAACAGAAAGAGAACACAGCAGAGAAAGAAAGCTCTGGAGAACACCTCTTTGCAATCCAAACAGGTCAACTAGCCATCTGAGGACTGATTTTTGTAATTCCAGCACACCAGAATTTCATCAACACATATGAACCAGAACAGACTGTGCAAGAACAGGCCATCTCCCCAGACTGCTCTCAAGAGTCTAACAAGAACTCTGAGACGGACATTATTAAGATGAGATTTTAGCCTGACAGTAAGCAGGCTAAGAACGACAGAGCATATTCTTGTTAGGTTATTAAGATACTATCCCTCCAAACAACTGCAGGTTTCTTACAGAATATTTATGCCTAATGCAAACATGAAGTCAAGGTAACCTGCTACCTGCTGCCAAATCTCTTCCAAAGGAAAAGGAATGTAAAACAAATTTCTGAAGGCGTTCAGGGGTTTCCTCTTTGTACACTGCCTTTCTCTGGGCACTCCAGGGAGGATATACTTCTGTTTCACTCACTACAATTGATTATTTTAATGACTCTACCTCTCCCTGAGTAAGAATCTGTTCATTTGCATTTAACTACCCCATTTCATTCCCTAATCTCTGTTTTTTTGGTTTGTTGGTTTTTTTTCCAGCAAAGTGTTCTTACAACAGAGTTTTTTTCTAATAAAATATGACAACTGTTATACTAATGTTAAAATACAAAGTCGACCTGTAAACAGTCTTAACAAGTAATACAAGTTTCCATCTCCCAGACTGTATGGCCAAAATTGGCCAGAACAAATAGCAAAGTAAGTCTGTGCTTCACATTCTGATGATGTAAAACACACTGACGAGAGAACAGTGATAGTTCACAGCTTGTTTCAGCAGTCTGAGGAATTTTCTTCATTAAAAAAGTGTGAAAGCATTATTTCTGAAGAAACACTGCCTAATACAAAGTCATGTATTACCAAACTAATCATTAATAATCAAATAAATATTTATTAGTAAAGTTGTAGAGTACATTTGGATAGCTAATTCTTCCTGTAGCTTTGGAAACTCATATAAGGGAGCAAGACATAACAAAACCTACCTAAAATGTCACTCTTAATCATTACTAGAGAGTGCAAGATGTTTGCTATTACTTTCCTAAATTACATCCTCCATTTTCTGATGTAATAGTGTTATCCACATAAGTAACCTGTCCTCCAAAAGACAAAGCTGGATTTGATGATTCTTATCAGTCTCTTCCTACTCAAGATATTCTACGATTCTCTTACACATTTCTAGAAAACAGCAGAAATTTGAGTCAGATAGAAAGAGAGGAGGCTTGCAGACAATCTGCACTTGCCACAGCTGGAAGTCCCATCCTAGTATTTTCATTCACATAGTATGTGCTGTCCCATTAGAGGTGAAGTTAACAGTGTCATGGTTTAACCCCAGCCAATACCAGGACAAACAGAGAACTATCCAGCTGGGCAGCAACTTCCCTAAGCACACAGATGTAATTCTTAAGCACAGATCAGAAGCTACAGTCTGAGAACCACCACAGGCAAAACTGACCAGCCAAGGACATCTGCAGGGAAGCACATAAACAGGTACATGCTATCCCTGACACAGCTCAGCATATATTTATTTACCTTTCCATCCCCCAGTGATAACCACTAAAATAATTCAGTGGCACATAAAGATCACACTTGCATAACCTATTCACATGGGCAACATTTTCTACTCCTAGCATCTTTATTAGTTGAACAGGGTATTTATCTGATGCCAGAATCACAGACAATATATTTATACAGCCAGATAGCATCTCCCCCATTCTATTTTAACACAGAACTTCTTGTACCAACAACACAGATAATTTATCAAAACCTCAGTGATGACCGTAGTTATACAAGTTAAATAATGTTATACAGGTTAATAGTTATACAGGTTAAGTAATGTTCTGTCCTATGCTGGACAAACAATCTTGAGATCTGTGCATCAGGTAACTGATCAACTCTGCCAAACTCTGATGATAAAAAATTGAATGCTACTGCAAACATTCATCTAAGCATACACAGATGTCATATACCAATTCTACCACTGGACTAGGAAAGCAGCATTTGTAACCTTCACTTTTATTTGCAGCATCTTGGAAGCTGTGAAGTCACTACTTTCACCATGACATCACTTCCTCAGATAATCAGCACTGGCAAAAAGACACCACCATCCACGGATAAAAATCATGAGATACTCCTTCGGGAACAACCACAATGCTGCTTATTACAACTTCTAAAGCAATCAAAAGGTAGCAAGAAGGAGGCTACTGGTAGATCCGAAGCTATTTTAAGAGGAATAACTGAATAAAATTTTACACAAGCTTTACATATTGATTAAAATTATACTTTTAAGGTCAATGGAATCATCAAAACAGCCTATATTTTCATCTTCGAGGGCTTAAATCCAACCTTATCCATAATAATAGACACAGAGCATTGCACAAAACAGGTGTTCCCTGTGATGGGCTGCCTTTTTTTAATATTTGGAACAGAAGTATGTTATCCCTAAATTCTCACATCTGGTAATGCTTTTCAAAGAGCACATAAAAGAAGTGGCGTTCTCTACCTTTAGTGACATCTTCAGCTCTGATAGACTTATGGTGAAAGATTCTCCTGTCGGGGAGGTTGGTATTACCTCTTCCAAAGCTGGGGAGACTGTCTCCTTAGCTCCTATGGCTGCTTGTGTGGTCCAAAAACCAACATGAAACCAGCATGAGCTACTGTTGTAACTTGATTTCCTATTTTTTTCTAGAAGACCAAAGCACAAGGTCCACTGACACTCCCTACATCCTGTTTTAATACCTTCTCTTCACCTCTCCTGATCTCTGCTCTTCTATTTCCTAAGCATAGTTTTATTCTTTTCTTTTTTCCCTCTTGCAGGTCCAAGATACATGATTTCACCAGCATTTCCTCTCACCATAGAGGGAACGTAGCTCTCTGAATGGCTTTTTAGAATCTTACTACTACTTATCAATAATGACCTTCCAAAAAGGTATTCTCTCCATTAAAGCAGTCCTGAAATATGACCTCCCAGGGCATCTAAGCTTAATGTTTGTCTTTTAGCTCTGAGATTGTTTCCTTTTTCATCATCTCAAATATAGCCAGTTTTCACAGTCTGCTGCTTGCTAATCATCCCACTAGGAGAAAAGCGGACACACGGATGTGTCTGGATTGTTTCCAGCTCTTTCCAAGCAAAGACCCCACCAGAGAAGCCCACAGTCATGAAAAGAAAGCTATATATGGACAAACTCTCTGCAATAGGTCTAAAATGTGATTACCTCCTGCAGCTATCACAGCTAAACCTGAGAGGAACCATGAACTATAAATATTCCTGAGAATTAAAAAAATTAAAATGCTGATGATGAAACTGGAACTCATAAATTAAACTACATAAGAAACCAATGATCTCTCTTAGCGCTGATGGGGTTTTGTTTAGCTAGATTAAAGGTAAGCTGTAAAATGCATAAACACTGGATGCCTGGGACAAAAAGAATTAAAGAAATGATGTGTCATTCTCAGATGGGATCAGTCAGGATAACTTAATTCAGATCAGACTTGCGCAAAT